GAATGAGTTGCTTTGTAGTTTCTGGAGTTAGGAACAGACGTATTTTGGCGCTGTTGCAGAGGTGGAGTCTGCATGAATTTGTCAGCAATTGGACCTGGGGCTGGAAAGACAGATTGGAGTCTAGAATGACACCTAGTACTATGGCTTGTGTGGGGGGGCTGATGGTGGCGTTGTTGATCGAGATGGAGAGGTCGGGGGGGGGGGCGGGCTGGGGGGAAAACTAGGAGCTCGGTTTTGGCAAGGTTTAATTTGAGGAAGTGGAGTGACATCCGGTCTGATATGTCGTTCAGAAGGCTAGTGATTCAGGCGGAGACTGAAGGGGTGAGGTGAGGGGTAGAGAGATAGATTTGAGTGTCATCGGCATAGACATGGTAGTTGAAGCCGTGAGAGTGTATCAGTTGACCAAGGGAGGAGGTGTAGATGGAGAAGAGAAGGGGCCCGAGGACAGAGCCTTGGGGGACCCCAACAGAGAGGGGGAGGTGGCAGCGGTATAGGTTACTAGGTTATAGGTTAATACTTCATAGAAGCCATTGATTATATGAACTGCAGTGCTGATAACCAACAAGCCTGAAACATCTGTATGCAATGTATAATAATATATGTTATAGCCGGCTGTGCTGATCAGTGTATTCTTATGAAGGGGAAATCTCCCCACCGTCAGAATGCAAAAGCTCAGCAGGGAGGATTCCCCCATCTACCTCGAAAGTGTGATGGGACATTCAAGTCATTTTTTTTTTTCCTTCAACCCGCTAATTGAGCTGCAAAAAAAGTGATTCATCTATGTGTTGCTTAACACAGAGCTGTAGTAATTTGTGTTTTTAAAATCTGCTAAGTTTAGCATCAAGGTTAACCACTTGCCCTCCAGAGGATTTACCTCCCTTCCTGACCAGGCCATTTTTTGCGATATGGCGCTGCGTTACTTTAGCTGACAATTACGGCGTCATGCAACACTGCACTCAAATTAAATTTAACCCTTTTTTTTCCCCACAAACAGAGCTTTCTTTTAGTGGTATTTGACTGCATGTGCGTTTTTTAATTTTTTGTGCTATAAATAAAAAAATACCAATAATTTTGAAAAAAAAAAATATTTTTGACGTTTTGATATAAAACACATCCAGTAAAAAAAATGTAAACATCAAATTTCATCATAAATTTAGGCCAAAATTTATTCTGCGACATGTTTTTTGCTAAAACAAATCCAAATACGTGTAAATGAATTGGTTTATGTGAAAGTTATAGCGTTTACAAATGGCGGTATACATACTAAAGCGCTGAGCAAACTGTTGGCTCTATATAAATCCTGTATAATAATAATAATACTGTAATTTTTTTTATTTATTTTTTTTACTAGTAATGGTGGTGATCAGTGACTTATATGACTGCGGTGGGCATTCTGACACTGGGGGGAACTGACTTGGTGTCACTGACATCCCCAGTGACACCAATAGAGGGATCACTGCTAATAAAAAGCACTGACACTGTACTAATGGCATTGGGTAGGTAGGGGTTAACATGTGGGGCGATCAAGGGTTAACTCTGTGCTGTTTTACTATGTGGGCTATGTCTGTGTTTCACTTTAAACGCAATGCTTTGTATGGCTGTGCTATGCAGAGCCATACAAAGCAGTGTGCAGGAGCTGACGGGGAGAGATCTGTATTGTTTACATACAGGTCTCTCCCCTGTCGGAGATACTCAGCGATCACCAAGTGCCGGCAAGCAATTACCAGCTAGGACCCGGTGATTGACAGCCAAGGCCGCGAATGGCAGCATGGGTAGGGCGCACACCCTCTATCCGGAGATGCAAACTGACGTATATATATGTGATTTTGCACACCCCTGCAGCCCTGTAGTAGTATTTCTGCTATAGGGCAGAGGGGAAACAGTTAAGAAGGATAGATTTTTTCCTAGTTGGTTATCATTCTTTTCCCCCTTTTGGCCAACGTTGAAGGCTTTAAAATAGAGGGAAACCCTCCCGGGAGCTTTGCAAGGAAAGTCTAGCCTGTCAGCATAATACAGCTAATCAATGGGCAAAAGTTGGGCGTGTGCCCTGAGTTTGCTCTCTTTGGATGTTTGTACATAGCTCATTGAAACACTGATGACCTGACTTCTTGCACAGTTTAGTGGCCAACCTGTTAATATCTGTAGACATTTAGGATTGGATTTACATGGGCAGCAAAAGTAGAAGATTAGGAGGTGGTTTTGACCCTTTTCCAAATGCCTCTTCAACGATGGGGGGCAAAGTAATAAACTAAGACAAATGTAGCCAAAATCTTAATTCAAAATAAAAAACTGCGCTTAGTGTGAAAATGAGTCCTACATAATGAACATGTACATGTGTACAGCACCACTCAAATACACCCAAATACAAATGTGTGACAAATCCAGGGCCAAAATTTGTTGTGCTGTACCTTTAAACCTAATTCGTAAATCATTAAATCAACTATTTATATGTAAAACACCTGCAATCACCAAAAGAGTACAAAATTCATAGTCCGTAAAAGTCAACCAAAATTAATGTATAATCAAGTGACATGCACAATCTTCCATGAATCCCCTTGTGAGTTTCACCACCACTGATAAAAATCGGCTTCTTACCAAAGGTAAAGACCTCAAAGCACAGGAGAACTTACAGCATCCACAAAGATGCTGGAGGACTATTTGCAGCAAGACAGCACAGAGATTGGGAACCCCAGGGCACACCAGGAGGTGTGCCTGTGCTGACATCATCATGCCACCGGCCTGCCATGGACTGGTGGACTTTTTTGGACTATGTTTTTGCACAATTTTTGATTTTATATGTTTTACACATATATCTGAATAGTTTATTATTTAGGTTTCAAGGTAGAGCACAACAACTTTTAGTACTAAATGTAGCCAAAAGACAGTGCAGTGTGCCCCTGCTCAGCAAAATTCAAATAGCAGTAGCCTGTATGTTGCAGTGCTGCCACCGGCAATCCTCTGCCAGGGAAATTCAGGCACCCAGTGTTCTTCTGTATCCAGCAATCATATGAATCCAACCTAACTATGGAATTACACAGTTCCTTGTGCATGCAGCGCTCATGTTAAAGCACACGTGTTGGTGTGAACAGGCCCATAGAGTTTCCCTTTCTCTTTCACTTTACACTGCAGTGCATAGATGTGAACCAGCCAAACAGGATAGAATGGGATTTAAAATTCAACATTCGGAATGTTTTCCCCTGCAGGAGCAAATTGGATCATGCTTTGCTGGGTTTTTTTTTTGCCTTCCTCTGGATCAACTGTGGGTATAGGATTATAACTTCTTATTTTTTTAATGTTTGAACTGGATGGACGTTTGTCTTTTTTCAGCCAGACTAACTATGTAACTATAAGTAACTATGACATGCATTTTCATGCAGCAAAATGCAAGAGTTTTGCTGCATCATACAAGTGTGAATAAGCCCTGAGAATTTGGTAACATCCTAGCCAGCAAATTTTCACTGCTCATTTACTAGAGGTAATGGTCACTGCTGGATGTATACCCAAATGGTGATATTATAACTTCACTAAAATCAGGGGTCAGAAATGGTATAATACAGTGGCTGGCCATGTGCAAGGTTTTATAAATAAGGACCATTGTTCTCCACTCACTTGTGTTGTAAAGTTGACTTGGCATATAGGAGATAATCCAGTTGCCTGTGTGGTATTGCAGATTCCTGGATCACAGGATGATGAGGATAGAAGAGGCGCTGGCTTTTACTATCTATAGCTTGTAGCTCATTAACACCATATAGGCACTCAACACCTCTTCTAGTTAGTGAGAGAAGTCTCACCACGTGCTGGCACCTTCTCAAGAAGGCTGAGGGTGGCCCAGCCATAGCTCATCCTGTTACTGGCATTAATAATTCAAGGCTCCTTCAGGCTGGATGCATTGTTGTACATTTTAATGTCTCCCATTCCCACCAATCTAAGCAGACTAAAAAGCGCCTGTATTCAATGAGACGCATGTTAGGGTATAGTGAAAGCTGCAGGCACTGCCTGCCAGAATACAATAGCCCCGAGGGGCGGACTGACCATTTGGAAACTCAGGCACTGCCCGAGGGCCCGGGGTCAGTAGGGGGCCCCATGAGATGCCCCTGGTACCTTTTTCATAGGCTTTTTTGAGTTTGGGCAAGGACACAGGGGCCCCATGATCCCCTATTGCCCGAGGGCCCCATGAGTTGTCAGTCCGCCCCTGATAGCCACACTAGACATTTTATCCATTTGTAGTGTTTAGCGTGGATGAAGGAATGTTAGATTTCTATTGTTCAACTTGAAGGCTGAACAAAAAAAAAATCTATCGGCGTACGGCCAGCTTAAAGGATAAGTTCACATTTTTGGGAAAAAATAATAAATGCACATATTTTTGCAGGAAAAAAAAGGTGCATTATTATTTTTCCCTAAGGAGCCTGGAAAACATCAATGGATCAGGGGTGCAGTGCAAGACTCCTGCAGACAAGCCCTGCAGCTTTCAGCCCGTACCTTCATATAGGCTGACTGTTTACAAGCTGCAGTGCTTGTGAAAGAACTACGCGTCTGCTCATCAGCAACCCCGCAGTCCATTCAGTACTACAAGCTGTCAGACTGACTGTAATTGTAGTTTGTGCATTCACAGAAAACTGCGATGAATGATGCGGCCATGTGGACAGAGCCCCACATGACCATTCTGTATTCAAATAGTGACAGTGGGCAAAGGTAAATGATCCCCATTTCGCTGTCACAGGGAGGTGGGGAGAGGCTGTAGCTGTTGGAACACATTACTTGTTCCACCCTAAATACAGGCAGAACATGTAACATGTTCCAAAAGGTGAACTTATTATTATTTCAGGTACTTATATAGTGCCATCAATTTAAGCAGCGCTTTACATATATATTGTACATTCACATCAGTCCCTAACCCTCAAGGGGTGTACAATCTAAGGTCCCTAACTCATGTTCGTACATACACATACTAGGGCCAATTTAGACAGAATCCAATTAGCCTAACAGCATGTCTTTGGAGTGTGGGAGGAAACTGGAGTACCTGGAGGAAACCCAAGAAGACACAGGGAGAACATGCAAACTCCAGGCAGGTGGTGCTGTGGTTGGGATTTGAACAGGGGCGGACTGACAACTCATGGGGCCCCCGGGCAATAGGGGATCATGGGGCCCCTGTGGCCTTGCCCAAACTCAAAAAAGCCTCTGAAAAAGGTACCAGGGCATCTCATGGGGCCCCCTACTGACCCCGGGCCCTCGGGCAGCACCCGAGTTTCCAAATGGTCAGTCCGCCCCGGGATTTGAACCAACAACCCTAGTACTGCCAGGCAGAAGTGCTAACCATTTAGCCACTGTGCTGCCAAACTTATCCTTTCTTATGCTTGAAACAGTGCTGGAGTAAACTATGAAGGTTCCACTGTGTTTACATGGTTGAGAAATGTGGACGAGCTGAATTTACCTAGGCTGTGTGAGCAGGGTTTGGCTAACATTACAAAAGTTTTGATACTGAATTGAACCCCAATGCTATCACTGGAAGCAAATCTGTAAAATTAATATTAACCATTTTCTTGACAATTAAGCTAGGGGTTGCTATACATATGACACAGGGGTGCTGGACACTGCCCTGGGGGATGTGTACTAATGCAAAATTTGTACAAAAAGTTAACTGCAGCTGGGAGCAGCCATTTTAATAATGCCTAAAGTGAAACATTAAAAAATGCCAAATTCTTTTAAATAACCTGCCTGGGATGGAGGAGTGGGATTGGTGTCCTAAATCTGTCTGTAAAGTGATGCATCTGTACCATGAATACAACTTACAATAACAGGTGTCACTAAATGGCAGACCACAGTCTGGAAACGGACCAAGTGACAGTCCTGTCTGGACCTCAGCCGGACCACTTAGCAGCCTGAGTGGACTCCTCTCCTTCCGCCACTGCAGCTGTTAAAAATCTCAGCATTGTAGAGGGTGGGAGGAATGGAAGGAATGGAAGGGTGGACTCGTCTTCTGAATGTACTCACCTGCTGACACCACCACTGCCGCTGTACTCACAGCAGAGTACATTAGGCCAAGGAGCCCACCCTACCATTCCTCCAACACCCTCTACAATGCTGTAACTTCAACAGCAGCGGCGGAAGGCCAGTACATACAGAAAAAGAGTCCACCCTGCCATTCCTTCCTCCTGGGTTCAGGTATTACTGTGAAGGGGGAGCTGTGATATGGGGGAGGCCATGAGGGGGCGTTGTGATATGTGGGGCTGTGATATGGGGGGGTGTGAGAGTGGGGAACTGTGATGAGAAAAGGTGAGCTGTAATACTGGGGGGCTGTGATGTGAGGGGGAGAAGCTGTGATATGGGGGGCATGATGTGATATAGGGGGAGCTGTGATTGGGGTAGTGTGTTATGGGGGGCTGTGTTGTGATATGGGGGCTGTGATGTGACATGGGTGGGTTGTGATGTGAGAGGGGGGACCTGTGATATGGAGGGACTGTGAGGTTGGGGGGCTCCGATGTAAAATGGTGGGCATAATGTGATATGGGGGGAACTGTGCTTGGGAAGCTGTAGTGTGGTATGGGGGGCTGTGATGTGATATGGGGGCTGTGATGTGATATGGGGGGGCTGTGAGGTTTGGGGGCACTGATGTAAAAGGGGGTTGTGATGTAAGGGGAGCTGTAATGGGAAAGAAGGGACTGAGGACACTAATGTAAAGGGGGTTGTGATGTAAAAGGGAGTTTGAATGTGAAGGATTTGAGTCATAGAAGAAAAATTAGATTCGGACCTCTGCAGAAAGAATGTTACCAACCGGACATCCATGAATTTTAATTCAGCACCCCTGTTCTATAGCAACACTGACATTTCAAAATTAAAATAAGGCTGTTTAAATGCCAGCTCCCTGCTGGTTTGTTTTTCTTTGTAAAAAAAAAAAAAAAAAAAGCTGCATAGAACTCTTCAAAATGCCCTTTAGAGTCTGGTAAGTATTTTGAGAGAACCTGTGTTGGGGTCCTCATGCCATTTTTAACAAAAGAAAATAAATTGGCAGTGAAATGTCATTCATCAGCAATTTAATAGTGTTTGTGTTTTTGTTTTTGTTTATTTTAACTGCCCTGATCTGGAATAAATTACCAAACCATAATTAAAAATCTGGTATAAAGGTTTAAATTAAACACTATGCAAAAAAACAAAAATAATGAGATAGAATGAGACCCTTCTGCTCTAGCATAGATTTTATGCAAAAGATTAGTGCCCCTCTCAAAATCCATGCCATACTTTTAATCTGAGCTTGCAGACTTCCCCCTTCCTGAACCGTACTAGACCAAGTGCTCTCAACAATGGCCTCTTGCCCACAACCATTATGTCCCACAATGTAAATCCATTGTCAATCACATCCAAGATGTAACTCCTCGCCTCCTGGGGAGCAGAAGAAAATCTGTAATGTGAGGATGTGGCCACTAGCTGAATGACAGCTCCCTGAACTGTCATTGGTAGTATAAAGGAAGGGGCAGAGATAGTGCTGACATCAGTGCCCAAATATGGCATTGCTATATTTGGTCAACATTACTGCCCAAATATGGTCATGTGGCCATATGTAGGCAATGATATCATCCCCTATATTTTCCCCTCTGCTTTTATGGCTGGAGGTTCCTGGCCATGTAAGTGAATAGGCTGTATGATGTCAGTGGTTGCTAAGGATGTGGTAGGTGCCGGCAACATTTAGCATTCAGACAAACATCTGAATAGCAAACATTCAGTCTGAATGTTTTTTGTATCAGGGCCGGATTTCCCAATAGGCACCATAGGCATGTGCCTACAGGCGCCCTTCCTAGAGGGACGCCTGTCTGTATGAAGAGAGAGAGATGTGCACCCCTCTCTCTCTCTCCACAGGTTTGGGCGCACAAACAGCTGCAGACAGTTTAGTTATGCTACTGCTCCCAGTTCCAGCGGCTCCCAGGTGATCTGAATGGCCCTTTCAGTTTATTCACAAGGGCCCAGGACCTGCAGCATGGAAGGACTTTTTTTTTCTAAATCGGCTCACAGGCAGATTTACACAAGCTGCCAGTGCCTCGTTTGCTGATAAAATTACACATTTCCTGCTGGCAGAGTGATATCACTCATAGCTGCTTCTTCAATGCCTGCCTCTTTCAGTGAAGTGCTAGGGAAGGGTGAGCTCGGGCTGAGAGGGAATCAGCGGCAGGTTAAAAGGTGGTATATGGCAGCCATCACAACTCAGAAGGAACACCGCGGACCCTGATGTAAAGGGGAACGCTGTTGATTATGATCTAGGTTCACACCTATGCAGGTTGCATTTGACCCGTTTCTGCATTGCATTTTGCACTTGCATTTTTGGCACGTTTTTGCTGCGTTTTACATTTCTTTTTTCATTTTTTTTAATATTTCTTATTGCTAGGCAGATTTAAAATGCACAATACATAAAAACGCAATACATGCTTTTCTGCAGTGTTTCATTGAAGTCTGTAGAACCAAAAATGCTACTTTTTGAGTTAAAAAACCCCCCTGACCCTTTATAAAAAGCGCACGGGGTGAAAACGTGGCGATGTGAACATGTCGCTTAGGAAATCATGTTCAATGGACTGTACCGTGTTTCTGCAAAATGTAAAACGCTGCATAAAACACTTCGGTGTGAACCTAGGGTAAAGGAGGGCTTTGGTGACCAGAGACCACCACCTATATCAGAGTTCCACTTTACATCACAGTCTGCAGTGTCCCCCTTACAATAGAGTTCCCCTTTACATCAGTCCCTTCAGAGGTCCCCCTTGCACTGTAAGGGGGAAACCTGCAGATTCTGATGTAAAGGAGAACTCTGAGGACTCTGATATAAAGGGAATTTTGGAGACTCTTGTGTAAAGGGGAGTTCTGGTGACCAGAGACCCCCTTACATCAGAGTTCCCCTTTACATCACAGTTCGCAGCAATTCCCTTTACACATATAAAAATATTTATATGAAAATATTTTATCAAGAAAAAAAAGTATTTTTTCTGGGATGGGGCGAGGGGCACCTATACGCTCCTGAGATGTAAATCTGGTCCTAGCTGGTACTGAACATTCAGCTCATCCCTATTGAGGAATTAAAACATTTTCTAAAGTATTGAGCAAAGTGTTGCTTTTATAACCTTGAGAACAGTGGGGCCTCATTCAGTTTAAAGTTGTAAAGCCACTGAGGAGTGAGAAGGAAAGAACAGGAAAGTCTACTAAAGGAACATGTATTTGAGGCTTTATTTACAATTGGGGTCCTTGTTAAAAGATAATGAAGGTACAAAAGTCTTTTCCAACTGAAGGGGCTCTGATTGTTACAATGATCATTTTTAAGGGGGCGTTGAGGGGATTATTTACTAAAACTGGAGAGTGGAAAATCTGGTGCAGCTCTGCATTAAAACTATTCAGCTTCCAGGTTTTATTGTTTTTTTTTTATAGATAGAAGCGGATTGGTTACTATTGGCATCTGCACCAGATTTTGAGTGCTTCAGTTTTTAGTAAATTCCCCCCACAGTGTATTAATTGTAGTCTTATGGGCTTATTTATGAAAGTCTCTTTAATGCAATGCTGGATACAATAACTAAAAGCAAGTCATATACACACAATACACAGGTAGTCACACACAGGTATGTTTAACCAGCATTTACACCATTAATTATTCTAAGCATGTGAAAGACCCACTACCGGATGAACTCCTGCCCTGGCACATCATAGCAGTCACTCAGCACTCCAAGAAATAACAGAATCAAACTGTAATATTCTTGCACTGTCAAAACCTCCTCAGTTATTATCACATGACACACAGGAGGATATATCTTATATCATCAGCACAATCTGCAGAATAGCACACACCAATAATAATGTGAGCATTAAAGCATAAAATAGACACATAATTTGACAGCGTCACAGCATAGAATTAATACATTACCAAAGCTGTGGGAAGATGGGAAGGAACAGACCCCATCGGAAACCATAATGCACAGGGGGTCACGGAGAAGCCGTAACGTGACCAACCGATGAGCCCATATAGCCTTGGCAAGAGTCCCATCGTTAAACTGTCCTCTTTTGCATAGGAAGGCTGCTCACCTTGATCAGGCTCAAGCTTCCT